ATAGACTTATGGGAAGCGATGAAGGAAAACAGTCCAGTTCGCTGCTCTGTTTCAAATACAGAAATAGATGACAAGAGATGCAAATATATGAGACAAGAGATGCAAATACACGAGAGACAGAATTCTTCTTCTGCCTGCCAGAGTATTCCTGGCAGTGTTTGGATCCTGACAGCTGATCCAGAGTGAATCAAGTTGCTGCTGCTATCTCTAAGTGGCTGATGTGCCCTGCCTAAAAAAGGAAGCCATTGCAGGGATATATTTGTTGCTTTGTAAAGGGTCATGTGTACAATGTGGTGCTAATTAATGAATAAATTGGGATTTGGTGCATCTGCCATATCATTGGCAGTAGGCAAATGAAGGGGAAGCGGCCTAATACCTTCTTTCAGCTTCTGAAAAGCACATTAATGCAGAAGTCTGGAAGAAGATTTCCGATCCATACTGTTTATAGTTCTGATGAGCATTTAATATGCAACCATTTAATATGCAATCATCAAGCAAAGGCTCAGGAAACCTTACAGATGCTAAAAATATTTTTTCTAGGTGAAACACTAGTTCTGTTGGTCTCATTCATGGAGGAAGAATCTCAAACAAGGGGGGAAAACTGTGTCATCAAGGTGTGATATTAAGCAGGGACTAAGTAGTCAATGTACTTGGCCTGATATTCACATTTTTTCCAGGTGAATGCTTCTCATCCAACAAAAGAAGAATAGCTAAATATAATGTCTTGGGGGAAAGTCCCACTGATTTTAGTGCAATGTTCTACCCCTGATGGTGTATATCTGCCAAGTCCGACATTCATATCTCTGTGCAGGTTCAAATTCCATAGCTGCAGTTTCATCACTTGATAACCACAACATCCAATGATGGCTTGCATGTGTAAACTGGCCACTGCATATACACAGTGCAATCCTAAATAGAGTTACACCCTTCTGAGTCCATTGAAGTCAATGGGCTTGGAAGGGGCTAACTGTTTTTGGGATTGCACTGAAAGATACTTTCATATCATCTGATATATTATACTTTTATATAATCTCAGATGCAATGATTCAGTTGAGTCAGTTCATACATTCATCTTCCAAATATGAAGTGCAGACAGAGTAATTAAGCTCAGAGAAACCAAGTGATGTGCATAAGGCATGTGTCTTAGCTGTGCTATGTTCACATACCAGGGCTTTTTTTGTAGATAAAGCCCAGCAGGAACTCATTAGCATAATAGGCCACACCCAACAGCAGAAACTCACTAGCATATTGGGCCACACCCCTGACAGCACAGCTCATTGGCATATTAGGCCACACCCCCATGTTACCAGAAGTGGGCTCATCCAGCCACACCCACCTTTTGCTTCTTATTCTGCTTACCTTGTTTGTTGTCAAAACCCAGAGCTTTTTTGTAGCAGGAACTCCTATGCATGTTAGGCCACACACCCCTAGTGTCGCCAATCCTAATGAGTTTCTGCTGTTGGGTGTGGCCTATTATGCTAATTAGTTCCTGCTAGGCGTGGCCAACTTGGAAGCCAGCCGGAACTCCGTTCCTGTGCGTTCCTGCCCCAAAATAGCCCTGCATAATACTATCCACGGTCATTTGAGCAAATGTTTCAAAACTGCTCCCATCTCATGGTGAGATTCTAATCCCTAATTCCACCATTCTTCCTCATCCACCTTTGTTGTTACATTATTACATTTACAGATATTGTCACGCAGGGCACTTTAAGATGGTTTGCACAGCTCTGCGGGTAAATCTAGGGCACTGTCAGTGAAGTTAATGGAGATTGCCTACTAGTTCCTATAGACAGTGTAACTGATAGTTACAGTGGTGCAAGAGTGAGAGACAGGATCAAGGGGGGGGGGCTAAAATAAAGTTTCTTTAATCAGAGTAAGCGTTTTGCTATGCAGATGTGTTTGTTAAGGAAAGGGAGGTTATTGAACCTTGTTCCCCAGACTTATTGCAGTCCAACATCAGTCTGACCCTGACTGCTAGGAAGCTCCTGCCAAGAGCTCCATTGTGGAAGGAAATTTCCAGATCATATCATTCATGGCATGATTTGGAAACCCCTCCCACAAGTAATTCGTGCTGTAACCCAACTGACCACTGGTGTTTCTGACCAGGTGAAATAACGAATCAGGTGAGAATCTGGTGTTTTGCAGTTACATCAGATCCGATTAACAAGCATCCATAAGTCCTTGTTTTAACTAGATGGAATGTGTAGCCCCACTTAGGGTGGCTTTGAAAGTTTAGGGGCCGATGAAACACTTTTGCACGTCTGAACTGCCTCCCACCCTCCCTTATGTCTCCCTTGGACTCACTGACAGTTTGGCCTTGGTTCACAGAGAGCAGGAATTTTCTAAGTTCTACAGGCCTCATACCTGAACCAAAGTTTAAGTCTGAACAAGAGACTATGCAGCAGTAAATCGTGCTGTATCCCAACTGACCACTGGTGTTTCTGACCAGGTGAAACAACGAATCAGGTGAGTATCTGGTGTTTTGGAGTTACATCAGATCCGATTAACAAGCGTCCATAAGTCCTTGCTTTAACTAGATGGAATGTGTAGCCCCACTTAGGGTGGCTTTGAAAGTTTAGGGGCCGATGAAACACTTTTGCACGTCTGAACTGCCTCCCACCCTCCCTTATGTCTCCCTTGGACTCACTGACAGTTTGGCCTTGGTTCACAGAGAGCAGGAATTTTCTAAGTTCTACAGGCCTCATACCTGAACCAAAGTTTAAGTCTGAACAAGAGACTATGCAGCAAGAGACTATGGAGCAAGGGAGACAGATTTCGGCATTACCTGGGAGAAGGCATGCGTTCCAAATGTATACTGCTGAATGCATCTGCGTATGTACATGTTTTCACAAGTGACATAAGAACATATGAACATAAGAGACGCCAATGTTGGATCAGGCCAAAGGCCCATCCAGTCCAACCCTCTGTGTCACACAGTGGCCAGAAATACCAGTGCCATCAGGAGGTCCACCAGTGGGTCCAGGACTTTAGAAGCCCTCCCACTGTTGACCCCCCCAAAGCACCAAGTAGACAGAGCATCACTTGCCCCAGAGCCCCTATCTATACCTTGTGGCTAATAGCCACTGATGGACCTCTGCTCCATATGCTTATCTAATTCCCTTTTGAAGCCGTCCATGCTTGTAGCCACCACCACTTCCTGTGGCAGTGACATTGATCTTGGTTTCAGCATTTCTCTTGTCTTTAAACATGAAGTTTAAATCATTGTGGTCTCTGCTCGCTTAAATTGGTCTATAGTGGCTAAAAGGTACATTTAATATAAAATGAATCCCTGCCACATTCTGTCGTGCATTAACAAAACTCACACAACACAAATAGCAGGAGATGCTCAAAGGCACTTTTTAGTGTTACATATAAAAATGGTTTAAAACCCCTTGCAGAACACCCCTTAAAGGTGTTCTCTTTGCTTTCTAATCTACATTCACAATAGACTTTAAAAGTGTCTAAAATTTCAGCTGTCACATTTATACCCTTCCTTTCCTTCAAGGAGCTCAGAATGGTGTATAAAGAGAGGATGATCTCATTTTATCTTCACAACAACCCTGCAAGGTGGTTGCTGAATAACTGAGCACAATGCTTGCTCTGTGTGGTTTTGGTTACATTTTCATATGTCAAAATGGTTAGAAAGTTCTGTACAGGGCAATGAACAACAGCAGAGGCGTGTGGAAATAAAGAATCCCAAATCTTTTACTGTATGGAAGTTTATGTTTAAGATTTGTTAATCTTAAAGATACCACAAGGTCTTCTTTTTTGCTGAATCTGCTTGAAATTCAGTGAGCAAATGAGAGATTCTACTACTGCACAAATGGGATCATTTAAGCATAGATTAAGTCTGGTGGACACAATACTGTTTTGAAGCACTGAAATCAGTACTCATCTGATCTGTACATCTTCCCACACAGCAGAGCAGCTTTGAATGTTACCATATTATTGATTTGATGTCATTTTATATCCCCTTTCTCCTCATTTTGGACCTAAAGTGGGTTATTTATTGGTCTCCCCTCAATGCACCCAGGATTCCTTGATGCATCCCCCCTTAATTTCCAAGCTACCACGTGGGTATGCATGTTTACTACCTAGTGGTGTACACATAAAAAGTGGTACCCTCCTGGTGTGTAAGCCAGAAGGTGAACCACTTCAAAGTGCAGATGGAGGATCCTATGTTGACATACTCCCTTGTCCATGCAAATAGAAAATCAGCACTGCAAGCAAACCCAGAGAGTAGAGCCACATTCTCCCTGCTCAATTAATATCCTCTTTTCAATTTCCCACCTAATGCGAAGGTAGCTAGAATCCAGTTCCTGAAGTCTCAATTTAGTATTGTCCATTCTAGCCCCTCAGGCGTCTGCCACTCCATTCTCCCACATGTGTGAATCAGCTTTATCCACGGGTAACACACGCAGTGAGTCTACTGTTCCCTCTAAGACGAGTTAGTGTGAGCTAGCTCACAGTTTTTTAGCCTCCAGCTCACACATTTCTGTCTTAGCTCAGGAAGGATGGCTCCAGAGCAAACTGATTTATATGCAGTAGCCAAATCGCTGCTCACAACTTTAATGCCAGAAGCTCACAAAGTAGAATTTTTGCTCACAAAGACTCCAAAAGCTCAAAGGGAGCATGGGCTCGCACCCTGCCACAAATTTTGTTAGTCTCTAAAGTGCCACTTGACTCTCATCTCATGCTATTTTCCGCTTCTACAGACAGACAGACGAACACGGCCACCCAACTTGGTCATTCTAACCTGAAGAAGTTGACCAGAGTAGTGACTCTTCAATAAACGGGCGTGGAGGGCAACTAAAGGGAAGCAAACTGGTGGTTTTTATTTGCCTCGCCTTCTGCAATGACGCTGGGGAAAGGAGGACGGACCTGCCGAGACTTGTTGCGCCCACTGAGGGAAGAGAATGGAGCGACACCTCGCCTTCCCTCCCTTCTGGGGCCAGGCCTGGGCGTGGCCTGGCTGCCACCCTCCCCTTCCCGCTAGTTCCTCCCCTCAGCCGGAGCCTGGCGGAGGCGGCCCCGCCGCGGTATTTCCCCGCTCAGTGCCCGCCGCTCGCTCGCGCGTTGCCGGCTGCAGCCCCTCGTCCTGCTCGCTCGCCCGCCTGCCCGCCCGGAGCCCTGAGGATGGTGCTGCCTGACGAAGAGCGCGCCGCCGGGGTGTACCGGGCGCCCCCGGAACTGTTGCGGGAGGCGCATGTGCCCTCCTTGGAAAAGTACAGGGAGCTTTACCGCCGCTCGGTGGAGGAGCCGCAGGGTGAGTGCCAGGAGGCCAGGCCCGGTTCGGCCGCGGCTGGCGGGCGTGCAGGCAGGGCGGCGCGCTTTTGCCAGGCAGCTTGCTAGGCAGCCACGAACAGGCCCACAGGCTGGGCTTCCTCCTGGCCGAAGGGAAGCGAGGGGCGGGCAACAGTTGCGGCTGCCAACGAGGCTTCGCTGGCCGTTGGGGCGCTTTGCACGGGGCATGCGGTGAGTGCGCGGAGCACATGAGGCTCGGGGACCTCCGCCCGGTTGTTTCCCATCCTTCTCCTTTGCCTTGCCATGCGCTTTGCATGACCCCCTCCTCCTCCTCTGCCTTTCTGAAGCCAGGCTGAAGGCCAGCTCTTCCTCTGTATTGCAAACTGTCTGAAGACCAGCCCCGGCCGCCCTCTTAATTGCGCAGGACTTAGTACTCTGTTCACAGCGGCCACTCTACCTTCCCTCTAGCCGCACAGGCGGTCCTTGCTTCTGTGTGCCATCCCAGAACATTGGGGTAACCTGCATAAGGTTATGTCTATACTGGGGTGGTTTTAGAGAACTTGTGCAGAAGAGGCAGCCTTGGCAATGCTACATTCTGATGCATCCTCGTTTACAGAGTTGTGTGCACAGACATTTAGCAGCATGGTAGTTATAGGCAGTTATTAGACTTAATCCCTACAGGGTAGGTACCAGTCTGCTTTTGACTTGCAGATGAAGCATGTTAAAACAAGTGATGTGTCTGAATTCCAGCTGTGAGCTGGGCAGCCCTGCATTGTAAACAAGCATCCCTGGTACTCAGTTATGACAGAGATATCTGTTTATTTCCATCATTTATACTGCACCTTTCTCCCCAGTGGGACTGTTTTTTTAAATATGTGGGTGATCTCTGGTGACTGACCCCTATTGGGGACCGGGAGGATATTCAGAAAGGTGGCTGAGTAAAGCCTGCCCCCACCTTCTGCCTTGGGTATTTCAAGGAGGTCTCCCATCCAAGTACTTGCCAGAGTCGGCCCTGCTTAGCTTCTGAGATCTGAAGATCGGGCTTGCCTGGGCTATCCAGGGCAGAGCCTCAAGCGAGGCTGTTGAGAACAGTAGCAGTTTGGATGCTGCCACACTGTACACAAAAGTTTATAAATCCCTAGATCTTTGCTGCTGTTCTTCCAGGCATGCCGAGTTCGGGAGACATTGCCCTAAACTTGTGCTAAGACTTATTGTGGGAATAACACAGTTTCCTTTGTGCATCTGTTTGGTTATCCAAATGTACATCTCTGTGTATGTTTTTCTTCTTCTTCCAGGTCTAATATATCAGTGTCTTTGCATATGGCAGTAATTTCCCTGGCAATGCTGTTGTAGTGTTGTACCAGGATGGGGGAATATTAGAAGGCCAGTAATATAGCTTGGGTTCATTCTGTGTTAATCTCTTGGAGACTAGAATGGTTGCTTGGGGCCAGCATGGTTTTCTTCACATCAACTATGAGGCAGGTAGGCCAGCAACAGTGCCTGTATCATATTGTGCTAAATTTGGGGCTGTCAGAGAGTTACCATAGGCAGCCTCTCAAGCATTGTCTAGGAGGTGGCTGCAGTTGGGTCCAAGACTTTGGTAGGTAAGTGTCAAGGAGTCAATAAGCTGACCCCATGGGTTCCCAGGGCAAGTACACACAAGTAGCCAGACTGATCTTATAAAAATATTTATAAAGTTTGTTTCAAGAATTGTCAAAAGAAAAGAATATAGCCAACAGATATTTTCTAGCTCATACAGTACATAAAACAAAAAGCTAGCTTTTACTACCTAACACTCTCAAGAACTTTGTTAGGCAGCTTGAACCTTAAATCTGAGATAAAGGTCTCTAATCAGTGTAGTCTATGTATCCAGCAACTGTAAAGCATAGTCTCAGGCCTATAGTCCATGAAAATCTCAGCTAGGTACTAGTCTCTTGAGCCATATCATAATTCTAGTTTTTGACCCCTCAAGTCTGGTGATGATGACACTCAATCCCAATGCCTCCCCAGGAGAAATTTCTGGAAGATTACATCATCACTCCTGATCTTTCCCCTCCCATCACTAAACCCACATTCTCATGGGAAGCTAATTGCCCGTTCCATCCTGGCCTTGAAAGAGATAAGGTACCAGACAGGCTGAGAATCCAATTAGTGAACACCTGCAGGGAAGGCCAGACCCGTTACTATGCACATTAACTCTTAAGGGAAAGCAAGGATAGAGCTTTGCCTCACAGTAAGGTTTTGTGTTCAGAGGCAAATCCCTGGCAAAGATGTTCCACACTGTGATCAGTGTACGTGGTACTTGCATACTTTAATTGACTCTAGCAGTAATGTTGGCAGCACTTCAATTCTGTAGTATCTACAATGCCTACACCTGTGCTGACACTGTAGACAGTTTAAAAGTGAGATAGTTTATCACTGAAATTACTACAGGAATAAATGGCTGCTGTTTGAGAGCAGGGGGGCCAATCTGTAGGACAGCTCTGAGGCCATTTCAGGAGAATGCATGTATGTGAAAATGTCTGCTCAGAGTTGTGTCGGCTACAAAACTTTGGGTAGGGTGGTTCTGGTAGAGACCACTACCTGATGCCTCCTTACAGGTGAATTAAAGATGCTAGATTAAAATTTGCCTTTGAGCAAGCTGCATGGATGAGGTGTTTCCACCAGGGTGGAGGAGAGAAGTTCTTGGTGCTTCTTTGCAATCTTACAGGTAAAAGTTGCCAGTGTGTTTTAAAGGCAAATGGCACAGCAAAAAGTGGCCTTTTTCTGAATGGAAAACTGCAATAATTTGTCTTGTATATTATTTGGCAACATGCAAAAAGGCGTAGGTTTGGTTTTACAGTACTCTGGAAAAGATTCAGTACTACAGTATTGGTATAGTGAACAACAGGTGAGCCAATGGATAGATAATACAGTAAAAGTTATTGTTGTAAAGTATATTGTTGGCGGTAGTTTGTATGATTTGGGAACATGTAATTAATTGTACCTGGAAAGGTCGCATTGGACGTGCCCTAGTTAAATGGCTGTCATGATCTTTTCTTTGACTTGTGCAAATACAGTAGCTATGCTTTCCTTGAGGATATAACAGTAAGATGTGAGATGTGTTTGGTTTTAGCCAGTGTATTTGTCACAGACAAGCATTTCTGCATGCATCTGACCGTTGCATCCCATTTGATCCCAAATTGACTACATGGAGATGCTATAGGTATATTTTGCAAGATAATGTTTGGTAGATTTCCTCGTGAGACACTTCTTTACTCTTCAGCTTTACAAGATACCAATGGGCCCTTTGTATTTTGCATTCTGGTACAGTAGTTGTAGTGTTTGGTTTCAGGATTCTGCCTGATATGTCAATGCTGCTGTTGTATAAATGGCTATATTTCTCAAGCTGTCACATACAGCCTTTAGTGTGTCTTGCCAGTGACTGAAGAGAGGAATGAAATTTTAGGGGTGAGTTGCTGATCTCAAGGTACCATTCAGAACTGTAGTTTCAAAAGATTTTTGCAATAAGAGTAAAGCATAAAATGTATAATGTTGATCTGTATCTGACTTTTTATGAAGAAATGGATCCATTATGAAGAAATTGGTCATTTTAATGCGAGAAAGATGCATTTTAATTGCAGTTTTTTAGTCTTCAAAATGGAAAAAGTAACATTTTAATTGGATTATGCATTCTTAAAGTATGCTTATTTAATGTCCATTGAAGTTTCCATTGAAATGTATGTGATTTGCCCTCAAGTATTTAGTACATAAGACGTTAGGTACTTATTGTGTGTTAGCAATAAACTGAAAGTGATTCATAAGCACATGTCCAGTATCCTTCAATACTTTGTCAGTTCTGCTGTAGCTATTTGCATCCTTAATTCTCTTTATTCATTCTTTTCTTTAAATAAGACCCATTCAGTTTTGTCTAATTTAGATGCCTTGTACTATTAGCTGCCGTCTGAAAGTTTTAATTTATTCTTTTGCAGAATTTTGGGGTGATATTGCCAAAGAATTTTACTGGAGAAGCCAGCACACTGGACCATTTCTGCAGTACAACTTTGATGTCACTAAAGGAAAAATCTCCATTGAATGGATGAAAGGGGCTACAACTAACATTTGCTACAATCTGTTGGACAGAAATGTCTATGAGAATAAACTTGGGGACAAAATAGCTTTTTACTGGTAATATTCTGCTTTTTATTATGCTCTTTCATATAAAACCTTAGAAGTGAAAAAAATTATTGTGTCATTGGTTTATTTTTGTGCTGACCCAGATTTTGGAGATCTGAGAGGTAAATGATAATGAACACTGTGTCATTACAGCTGATTTTCAGTTGATCGTGCTTGAGAATCCCTCTGTAATTAAAAAGGCACACACTTTTTTAAAAAAGGAAATCTGTCTTCAGTTGCTTCTAGGTCCTCAAGTTCTGACAGGTTCCCAGATAGAAATCTTCAGTACTGCTTAAAGCCTCTGTCATGCTTGCCTTATCAGTGGCTTGTTGTGCACTTCAAAAAGTCCTCTAGAAAGCTTGCTACAAGCAGTCGTCTGTTTCCTAAATAATAGGTGCCTCAATAGAACACAAACATTGAAGTTCATTGCAAGGGCAGGAATAACTTTCACCATTGTGCTTTAAAAAATTCTAATTCTTATTTTCCCCTCCCTTTTCTGCAAAGTAATGTTAAGCATACATATCTGATCCACTCAGGAAGTTTAAGGTAACCGTCAGTATAGGAAATATTGTCTCTAGAACAAGTTCCTGCTCTAGAATGTGATCATCTTCTTTAGTATTCATGATGCCTCCCTTTTGCAAGTAGACTTAGAATTATTTTTCCTATGAAAATTATTGCTCTTTCATTTGTTGTGTCCAGGAACAGTCGTGTACTTTATTTCCTTTCCCTGACCGTTCTAGTTCCTTTTTCTTTGATTAGTACTTGTGTACTTTACAGAACAACCAGAGAATCAGGAAATGTGGCATGCAGGTCAATCCAATGTATATTTACTAGGAAGCAAGCCCCACTGATTTCATCAGGACTTAACTTGCAAGTAAACTTGAGTGCGTTGAAGCTGTATGTCTCAGATGCAGGCCTTTACCTTCTGAAGGTATTATATAGTTACGTAGTGTTTTAATTCTGGCTTAGTCATAGTGTTTGTTTATTTTTAAACTGTTACTGGGAAGAAAACGGGTCTCAATTTCAAATCTTCTGTTAAAGAAGCAGGTGGAACTTAAGACTTTAAGTTTCTGAACTGTTCTAATATTAGGTAACTTATTTAGTTTGTACCCTGCCTTTCTCCCCAATGGGGACCCAAAGTGGCATACGTTTTTCTCGTGTCCTCCCTTTTATCCTCACAACAACCCTACGAGGTAGGTTACGCTGAGAGAGTGGTATCCCAGTGAAGTGGGGATTCGAACCCAAAAGTCCCAGATACTAGTCCAGCAGTCTTAGCCACTGCACCACACTGGCTCCCAGTGTGACTTTGCTGCCATCCTGCCTTTTGCAGGCTGTGTTGAGTGGCTGCAGCTCAATGTAGCGTAGTCTGCAGAAGGTGGTTCTGGCATCAAGTGTGAATGAGCTTTTTTTGGGCTTCTGTAAAACATTTTGTATCATCCTAAGTAGTATTTGATAGGCGTTGCATTGAATAATTTAATGTAACTTTGCTGGTGCAGACATAATAATAAGAAGGTTGTTAGCTGTGGGACAGAAAGGTGGGACACATTTTTTTTTAAAGTAATACTGGTAATTCTATTTGTCGAGGTTGTTGTGGGTTAAAATTGAGATATGGGATATATAGCACCATAAGCTCCTTTGAAAGGAGGGCAGAAAAAAATGAAATATGTTTCATAACTGTGATGAAACAGTTAGGAAGTGGCCGCAGGGTCGCTCACTGACTTCCCTCTTTCCTGAAATAAACGTTCAAGCTGCAGTGCCTTGTTACATCCGTAGCAATAGAAGAGCAAGAGTCCAGTAGCACCTTAAAGACTAACAATATTTATGCGCTTTCATGAGTCACTGCTCACTTCTGCTACAAATTTTGTTAGTCTTTAAGGCGCTACTGGACTCTTGCTCTTATCTACTGCTACAGGCTACCCATCTTGATCCGTCAGTAGCAATGTTAGTGGCCATGGTTCAAACTAACCGAAAGGCGTCCTGCTTAACCTGGGATCCGAAACCAGCTTCAGTGTGTGTTTAGATTCTGGCTTAAATGGGAAGCTTGTTTAGCGCTAGCATTTTAATGTCTGTGGGGACATAGCGTTAACAGTGGCTAGGCCTGGTAGCAGGGATTTATATTTTCTAAGAAGGGTGTGGGGAAGACAGTGTGCTATTTAGCCCGCTCCTGATTGTCTATCCCTAGTTAAGCATTAATTGTGCACCAGCCTTATGTATAAAAGTAGTCTAGAAAGATGAAATAGAGGTTACTTTTAAACAGTTTTCAGAATATGCATTTATGTGTCTCTTCTTAAAAATTAGGTTCAAGTAAGGAAGGATTTTTTTTCTCCCACCCACCATTTCCCCCTGTAGATCTCTGTGGGATTGCTCTGGGTGCCAGATACTGGATTAAAACTGAAATAAATATTCCAGTTTTGGAAGGTATTGCTTTTATCTTTTCCTCTAGTATGGTCTTGTAAAGCAAGTATTGATTAGTGTCTGGTTCAAAAGAACTTTCAGCTGCTAGAGTGAGTTGTTGTTGTTCAAGGCAAGAGAACATACCTTGTTATGAATTAATGAGGTTAGCAAAATACACATACAGGCTTTGGATTTCTAATGGCAGGGGACCGCAGATGAGTTGTGGAAAGCAAGGCTCCATGACAGCAGATGGATGCCAGTTTTAAATGTGGAAAATTATTTCTGTAGATATTCTGGCTTGACCAAAGAAACAGAAACTTACAAAATGCATAGCTGCTTGCCTCAGATTTTTTTTTTTTAAATTAAATAATGTTCTAACTGCATGGTACCATAAGAACAATGCTTCCGCAATATTCCAAGGGCCCACCTGTTCCAGCATCATCCTTATAACACTGGATACTTCTGAGAAGCCTAGAGGAGGGAGTGAATGCGTCACTCTTCTCTTGTTTGTCTTCCAGAACATGGAACTTTTCTGATGTCCCTTAAAACCATTGTAACCCCAAAGGTGCCATAATTACCTCTTTGAAAATGTGCACCCCCCCAAAAAAAAACCTGTTTGATTTTGTTTGTCTTGAACTGACCGCTGATGTTTAATTGGGTTATAGTGTTATATGAGAGTGAGACATCTAAATTATGTTTCCTTTAGTGATTTTTCTTTCTGAACGAAGAACTCCAAATTTCTTAGCCTCCTAAGGGAAGGTTCTTTAAATCTTTGATCATTTTGGAAGAATACGGGTTTCAGTTCCCTTCCTGGTCTTTTAATCAGCTCTAAAATGGAATTACTACTGGTTTATGGATTGCATCATAGGGAGAACAGAACACAAAAATAATTTCCAGCTCAAATTAATGGAGGAAATAGACAAGTGTTTGAAAGTGAACTTTGATGGCTCTATTCAAGCTCTTATCTTTGTGTTTTAATGGCTGGGAGGCTTGTAACATCTGAGCTATGAAATGCTGTTCTCTCTCGCTCTCCTCTGGTCTCCCCCTGATTTTTCATTTTGTATGTTTCCTCTCTGTTATGGCACTCTTTTCAATGGTCAAATGTTTGCCTACCTTTTAGAATGGATTGCAGAAGCAGTTTAACAGTGCAGTCCTAAGAGCATTTTCCTGGGAGTAAACCCCACTGACTAGACTGATAGAACCCATTGAATAGTATGATTCTGAGCAGACATGCTTAGGATTGCTGTCTTAGTCCTTCCATGGGACAGAATCTGCAGCTACGGGTAGCCGCTTTTCTTGTTAGATAGCCAGTCAGGGAAATCAGTAAAGAGGCTGAACGTATTTTAACTTCAATGGCTGTAGGGAATAAACTTCATTAAGCACTTCTAGTCCTGTGTAAATCATCAGACTTGAAATGTAGTTTTGAATTGATGTGGTATTGTCTGCTGAACAGTCTTCTGAGTGTTAGTTTTGTATTTGTGCACTGGGCCTTGAGAACCCTGGTCTGTGTTGCGTATGTCTAGTTGTTGTTTAGTGCTCTTTGCCTCCTTTGATCAGATTGCTGAGTTTAATGCCTGTAGCAGAGTTTGAGAAGAATTGCTTGACCAAGGCAGATGTCTCCTGTGCAGAGTTATTCCAGCCTAAACCACCTGAAATTAGTATGCTTAGTCTGGAATGACTTTGTACAGGGCTGCACTGTTAGTCTGTTCAGAGACTGAATTTTTTCTCTGCTGCTGTCCAGTAGTTTCCAAATGTGTAAGAAGCTTGTGAGTAAATGCTTACTAAGGAGCCCAAAAAAATTCTTCATGTTTTTGGATCAATCAAGGCACCTCTTCTCTGCTAAGAAGTTTAATTTGTTATGCTAATCAGGAGGCTTCTGAGCGCTTTTTTCTGAAAATGTTTGTTAAAGCCTACTTTTATGTTCTTTATGTTTAAAAATGGCTCACTTGTTTAACAGAAATGTTCTCATATGAGCCTGTCTTCTTTCTCTCTTCTAATGTTGGTAGTTGTATCTGCTGAAGTTGTGTACAGACAAGGATTACATGACGTAAACATTTGCTACTGTGGCATATCAGTTTGTCAAAATGAGGTGCTCTTGTAGTTTGAAGGATACAAAGAGAAGTGTTGGCTTTAATTTTTGTGGGTAACTGTGCTCAGAAAGAGATGCTATTGGACTACTTCAGAACATCTAGCTGGTATAAATTCTGTTATTTTACTAAAGAGAGATCTGATCACAGCTCCTGTGTTTGTAACTAGATTACTGTATTATAGTTCAATAAAGTGACATGCAGTCCTTATTGTTTTCCTGGATCTAGTTTTTAAGGCTTGCTGTTTTGTAATCTGTGAACACCTGAAGAATATTGCAAGCTGTTAGGGAATTTCTTAGCCCAAAAGCAGAAAATACATAAATACTTGAGCAGTTTCCCAGAGGCTTATTTTTAAACTGAAAAGCTGTATTGGAGGATGCATGGGGGCCAGAAGAACTGCAGGGAAGAGGGGCTATGTAACTATTCCTCTTCTTGCTGTTTCATCTAAAGTTCCCTTTCCAAGACGTTTTTCCACCTGCAGAATTAAAGGTGTGATCTTTGTATGCTTGTGTGAATCTGGATTTTAGAACA